CCACGCCGCTGGGGCGCAGGTGCCGGGGAGGAAGGGCTCGTCCGGCTCCTCTGGCGGCGTGGATGCTTGGCTGGCAACTCCGACCACGAACGTCCAATGGTGTCCTCCATCTGCCCGAGACGGGAAGGGATCCGAGAGCTGGAAACGGGGCGGTGACGCCTCAAAAGGAATGACATTGGCATTTACTCTTGAACTTCTTGGACACTTTAACACACACACACACACACACACACACACACACACACGAAAGAGCGCTTCTGGCTTGATGTCTCCGTTACAACACTGCATGATTCTCATGCTGCAGGAAAGTCACTTACTTCTGGGTAAAAGGAGACGGTTCTGTCCTTTTTATTTAAGTGCGGGTGTAGGGGCTGTGGCCGGCCCGCTGCCCGCCTTGTGCCCATCCTGTCATCTTACTCCCAGGCGCCCAAGCCCATGGAGAGAGAGGCTTGCGGGTACAAGACATTCCGTTTAAGAGATGTTAGAAAAATGTTAGGTACCAGTTATGTGCCCAACCTCAACACTGGTTTTCACAGAGCTGGGCCCAAAAGAAGCTTATGACGGAAGAAATTCCTCTGTTTTGCAACGTCAGAGTGCCTGAATAGCGTTTCTTACATTTGAAATAACTTGCAGGTGACCGCAGCCTTTAAAGCATAGGATTCAAAGTTATTTTCCAGAGAACAAAACAGTCAGCCCTCTTGAATGAGGAACTTTGAGAGCTGATTTTCTTTAGGCTTTACGCCCTCTTTAAACTGCTGTGAAGACGCAGGCAAGAAGTTAGTACCGTAGAAGAAAAGGGAATCGATGATATATCAGTGCTGGAGCTAGACTTTAACTTGGTTAACATATTTATGTAAAACAGTTTTAATGTGGTTACCTAGATTACTGGTCTGTTGTATGTGTTGAGGAGGCACAAGTGATTCAGTTAGATGTGGAGAGAAAATATTAGAACTTCCATTAGTTTACCTTTTAAAACTATTACTTTAAAATTGTTTTCTATTTGTGGATTTTGTAATGGGATAGTTTATTAGGCTAACATTACATGTATATAAATAAACATACTGAGGATGAATGTACAAATGGGGGGGGATGACAAAGTAGGTTAATACTTGCTTCTATGGAAAATAATATAATCCTATATAATAAAAGCGTAGTATGCGAATTGTCCCCTCAACTGGGAGTTGTCCGAGAGTTTGGCCAGGGAGCCGGGCCGGCCGGGGGAAGGGAGGGAGGCCCTGGCAGTGGCAGGCGGCTGGCAGCTGCTAGGAACCCTACCAGTGCATGAATTTTGTGCACTGGGCCTCTAGTAATTAATAAGACAAGAATAAACTGTTTTTTGTACTCACAACTGTAAACCTACTTTTGCCCAACCCTGTATTTTTTGTATACATACCTACAAGTGATCAAAACAGTTTACAGGTCAAGGGCCTACCTAGATAACGCCTTTTGTATAGGAGATAAATATTTTTAATAGGATTATTGCTGTGAACATTTCACTTTGCTGAAATATTTTCTACTTATTCACCATACAGAGGGGGGAAAAGTAGTTTTACAATTGTGAGTATTCAAAACACGAGTTTATTCTTATATTATTATTTATTAATTATTGTGTTATTTTCCATATGAACAACTGTAAACCCACTTTTGTCCCACCCTGTATAAGTGTCTACCATAAGCTAAGTGCCATACGAGACATCAGACTTGATAATTAGGTCACTGGTAAATAGTGGTGGAGCTAAAGGTAGAACAGAATGGGCTGAGGACTTTGGAATGATTTAAAAGGTACTTTGTGTATTTGAATTTAACACATGTATTATAGCAATTAAGGTATATTTATAATCCACCCAAATCCCTCTTTATATATTTAATGAATTGATTTCAGAAATAGTGTGTGCACCAACACATATTTGTCATTAGAAGCAACTCGTTCAAGCTTTATTAATAACAATGTTTAGCATTGTTCTTTATTTCATATATAAAAATTCTGTGTCATTAATAAGAACGTAGTCCCTTGAGGGAAAA